ATTTCTCTATCTGGAGAATGGGGCTGTTTGATGGGTTGTCTTCTGCATTCAGAGGGGCCCCTGCCTGTCTTTGCCTAGGGCCCCATATTTCCTATATCACCCCTGGTTGTAGCTGTTGGGTTTTTGTTTCATTCCTGATCATCTGCAGGTCTGTAAGGATGCTGATGTCATCCAGGACTGGAAACGCGCTCTGATGATTCCCTCTGAGACACAGAAGACAATGACTTAGCAGAAAGCAGAGCAGTGAGGTGTTTAAAGAGGATTCACTTTAATTAATGCTTCAGTAACAGTTGGATCAAAGTGTTGAAGTCTGTAAGAAGTGACCTCATCCGTCCATGTTCAGCGTGCTGCAGGCCTCTGTTTGCTGAGGGCTCCTGTGTGGGTTTACATCATTATTAGGCTCAGTGAGAGTCGTGGGCTCTGCTTGCTCTGCTTTGTCATTCAATAACGACCCTCCATCAGGCTGACATGGTGGTTCACACTCAAGCAGTTCTACTAAAATTTACTCCAATAAACACGAAAGAACTGATTTCTGCTGTTTGGACAGAAGCTGCAAAGAAAAGCTGGATGAAAGCAGAGCTGAGAGACAGAGGTCAATATTCAGCTCTGGTTCTAACGCTAGTCTGTCCTGCAGGATTTAGAGGTTTCTCTGCTTTAGCACAGCTAAATAAGGACCCACTTTGGGGATGCCTGCTCTAACGGATCACCAATCTTAGGCTAGGTTTACACTGCAGCCTGAATTGACCCAAATCCAATTTTTTGGCCCAGATGCGACCTGAATCTGATCTCTTCATGGCAGTCTGAACAACACAGATCCGATTTTTTCCAATGTGACCCAGGCCACTTGGCTCTGTGGTCCTGAATCCGATACGAAGCTGATCTTTTCAAATGCGACCTGTGTCTGAACGGATTCATCCGACCTGAACGTCATTAATACCCGACAGTGGTCACTATTATGCGTCTTGTTACGCAGAAGTGGCAAGAAAAAGAACAGTTATATTGATATTTCTACGTCACCTTCTTTGACTCTGCACTATTTTTCCTAAAACTGTCTCGGTGTCGCCCTCTATGGGTGGAAACGGCTACTGCAGATACATTTTCCCACTGATAAGAAAAAAATGAGTGAAAATCTTTTGCTGTTTATGAGAGTAAAATGGAGTGATAGATCTATATAGAAATGGCAAGAAAAACAACAACTATGGCGGATGATGATGCGGAGAGCAGTATTCATGTTTACACATATTGAAAAGGAGTATTTTTTTGTGGTTGGAAAAGACCACTAGATGCGCGCTGGCACTACCGTCCATGTTTACCTTCGTAAACACAGAGCACGCTGGCCTGTGACATCATTGCGTCCTCTACTGCCATGCAGGAAACTTGCGTTGTATGACTGCAGTTCACACAGGAGATCACATACAAGTCGCATATATTTGGAAATATGAACAGCAACGTAAAAAAATCGGATTTCGCAAAAAAAAAAAAAATCAGAATTGAGCATCAAGGCCTGCAGTGTGAACGCAGCCAGAGTCTGGTTCCTGAACCTGTTTCAGAATCCTGGTTCCAATGATGTTAAATAAGCAAATCCAAGAAGAAACCAAACCTTCACATAAAACCTGAGTGGTTGAGTAAAATAAAGAGAATGAAAAGTGAAAATTAGACTAAATCTACTGAAAGATAATGAAAGACAGAAGAGAGAACCTTTTAAAGTAAACTAAAGATGTGAAACCGTGTCCTGTCTGACGGTGTTTACATATAAAGGGAGGCGCTTGTTAAACATTATTTACCCGATACCATCGGAAGCTGTAAAGTTTACGGCCGTTTGGACTCCTGTTTCCCTCTTATTGAACAAAGTTACAACCAAACTCGTTCTCACACTTTTAGAAAAGAGCAGGTGTGTTTTTTTAAGCCCCTCCATTTGCATCGTTTTGTTGTGAAATGCTTTACTTTGTATTTTGTATTTCTTTTCTGGCACTTTAGGGTCCTGTCACACCTTGCTGATTTCTCCAGCGTCTGTCTGACTTCCCAGAATCTCCTAAAACGCCGGCATACGCTGAACTTTCTATGCATTCTTTCAATTATTGGCGTATGCATCAAGTATTCATAACGAGTCCAGAACTTATGTCCAACAAAAGCCTAACTTATGCATAACACACAGCAGCGCATCAAGTTACACGGCTTATGGGTAACTTACACTGAAGGTATGACAACAATCAGATAACTTACATGTAACCTATATACCTCCACATACTTGCCGTATGTTGACGTGTGCCAGTGTGTTTCAGCGTACTCATAATTTCTTCAAAACGTACCAATAACTTATCCAACGTATGCCAGCGTTTTTCATACCTCAGGCATATCCTGGCTAAATCGTCAAGGTGTGAGAGGAGCTTTACAAACTGCAATACAGGAAGTGTGCCCTTGTTAGAAGGATGGTGATAATTACCTGTCACTACATAGTTCCTCGTTTGTCTACACCAATTGCACCAAAACGTCTGTAGTGATGGTTCACTACTAACCCCCCAGTCGGATTCAGCATTTTGTTTCAAAGATATCAAATTTTACTTTACAGTTCACCAACAATTCCCTTTAACGACCCCCC